GGTGCGAGAGAGCAGAGCAGAGCCGGAAGAGATTGCGGAGGACATAGGGCTGCCAACACCGGCTGCTCAGAGGTACCCCGCGCGTGAGAGACACGCGCCAGGGGAGTGGTACCGCGCCAACTTGGAGGCGGATACGAAAGCGGGGGAGCACCCCAAAGGAACGGGGAACATCCAGAACCGCAGAGTTATCAGAAAGCCGTAGGGGGAGAAGAGAGTGACCTCTGGCGGAAATCTATGGACGATGAAATGCGTTCCCTGTTGGAGAATGGGACGTGGGAAAATCGGAAGGGGTTAAGCCGGTTCCTATAAAGTGGGTATACAAGATAAAGCGGGACGCTCACGGGAATGTGGAGTGATACAAGTCCCGGCTGGTGGCCAAGGGCTACCTGCAGAAGCAGGGTATTGACTTCGACGAGGTCTACGCCTCGGTGAGCAAGCACACGACGTTACGTGCACTGCTAGCGGTGGTCGCGGAGCGCGACTTGGAGCTGCACCAGCTGGACGTTTCTTAACGGGGAGCTAGAGGAGGAGATTTGCATGCAGCAGCCGGAGGGATACGAGCAAGGTGGGCCGGAGATGGTCTGCCCCCTCAAGCGCACCTTGTACGGTTTGCGCCTGAAGGAGGAGCTCGGGAACTTTGAGTTCGTGGCGTCAATGGCGGATGCGGCGCTCTTTACGGAAATAGTAACCGGGGAGCGGGTGTACATAGTGGTGTGGGTGGACGACATTCTAGTGGCGGCCCGGGGAGTGGACCGCATTGCCAAAGTAAAGGCGCATTTGGGGGAGAGGTTCGACGTGCACGACTTGGGGGAGGCAAAGCTTTTATTTACTCGGAATGGAGCTGACGCGCGATAGGGAGGCGCGCACCCTGAAGCTAACGCAAAAGAAGCTGAAGGGAGAGCTTGTGGGACGGTACGGACTAGCAAGCGCTCGGTCGCGCTCAGTCTCGCTCGGAACAGGAGACAAATCAACCAAAGAAGGTGAATTCCTCGACACAAAGCGGTTTCCCTATTGTGAGTGCGTGGGGAGCCTCTTGTACTTGAGTGTGTGCATTAGGCCCGACATTGCACAGGCAGTGGGTGCGCTTGCGCACTTTATAGCGGGGCCGACGAAGGAGCGCTGGCGGGCGGCGCTTGGAGTTGTGCGCTACTTGGCGGTTACGGCAAAGGGCGAGGTAACCTTTGGGGGGAGCGGAGAGACTTTCATTCCTTATTGCGACGCAGATTACGCAGGTGACGTGGACACAAAGCGGTCCACAACGGGGTACGTCTTCCTAATGTACGGGGGGGCGGTGAGCTGGTCGAGCAGGCTGCAGCCAACGGTGGCGGCCTCGACAGTAGAGTCGGAGTATATGAGCGCAGGGCAAGCGGTGAAGGAGGCGCTGTGGTTTCGCAAGCTCGGGGTAGATCAGAGTTGGATCTAGGGACGGTCCTGATCTACTGCGACAACTAAGAGGCAATACGGATCCTCAAGCAATTGGTCACTTCACAGCGGTCGAAGCACATTGACGTGATTCATCACTTGTGAAGTGCCGCGTTCCTCAAGCTCGCAATTGCTGTTCTCCTTGAGCACACCGAAGCGACCTCACGAGGTATCTGCGGTGCTTTCTTTGATCCTTGTGAAGTGCCGCGTTCCGGGTGCGTCCAGGACCGTCTGCGTAAATACATGGAAGGTTAATTCTCGACCGAGAACTATTGCGACCATCGTAGGACTGCGATGGACAGTCGCCGGGTGTCGGAGTTTGGCCAAAAGTCCCCGGGTTCGGAAGTCGATACATTTAACGCGAATTTTATGCATACTACATACCTACACGGTACGGTACTTTAGTAGCTCGTTGATATTGATGTATCATGTGAGGCAACTACCTATTGTAGGTCTCTACCTAAGACTTGGCGTTGTGTAGCCTAGGCCCTAGCCTCAACCTAAGCTACGGTACCAATATGTGGACCATCCCCAGTAGATGCCGTACTCGCATAATCGTACGACATCGGTCCCAATCGCTGATACCACGACTTAGATGGTAGGCACTATGGGTAGATTTCTGTTGGTCTTGTACGCGCAGAAATAGTTATATTAGTACGAATACTCGGTGGTATGTACTGCTTGCACTTCAAACCACATGTAGAGGCGGACCGGCGGACCTTACAATGCGAGTCGCATTGCATGTCAACCGTACGATCTTCTACTTGGAGATCTACTCATCTTGATGTCCTTTTGGCTAGACTTTGAAGGAAGAGCTTTGTGGGATTTCATGCGTCGCCTTCAGTTGAAGGAGTGTTGAGATTCACCTTGTAGGGGACTAGAATTGTGTGGTTTCACTCGTCATCGGGTCTTATCGTAGTTGCC